GTATCTCATGTTTATAGACATAAATTCATATAAATACAGCTGAGGTTCACTCTAAGACAACGTCAAGCTTGTATCCATACTTCCACATCATTGCTATTACAAATTTCACTTAATGATTAGCACAGAAAACAATGCCATTTAGGGAGTAAAAGGCTTGCAAAGGGTGTAAGTCTAGTGTGCATAGATATTGCCTACTCCAGGCAGTCTTCCCTAAGAGAGGTAAATCGAGACCTTGGTTCATTGGCTGAAAGTTGGTAGGAACTGTTTCATCTGATGTGGCTTTAAATATCATTTCATTTATTTAAATATGCCCTTGGGAGGAGTTTGTGGAAAAGACAAGTAATTTTTGGCATTCACGTAACCCATTGGGGTTATTAGTCATTAGAACCAATAATCCTATGAGCCAACTGAAATTCTGAAAAGAATTTATTCTGAAAAGAAATATAGCACAGGGTTGGTAGAAGGGCAGATAAGCAACACACTAGTACTTCAGAGGAATGTGCTGTGCAGCCTTGAGTGGCTACTCTACATCTCTGATCTCCCCTTCTCTGCTAGTCATTCTAACATCAAAAGTGCCTCATGAGTCCTGAGGTAGCTTTGCAAAGCAACATTCTAATTACTTTCTCCAATGCTGAGCAAAGGCAGAAGAGATCCAAACGTGGTTGGTAAGGCTTTGAAACCTATTTTCTCTTCTTCACGTGTTTTTGTTTGTTTTGTTTGTTTGTTTGTTTTCTGGAGGTATAATTTGCAGGGTCAGCTCAGTTTCCTGTTTTTCACTTTCTTTGGAAGTTAAATAAACAATATTTACCAATGGGACATTATGAGACTAAGGAACATCCCCTAAGTAATGCCAGGTTTCTTGAGTGGCCAAAGGTACTGAGTTCCATAAACTGCTGTCATTATCCTCTTTGTAAAAATGGCAGTGTTTGACCCAGCCAGGTCAAGTGGCTTTTAACAAACATGAGTGGGCGGTACTGGGGATTGCAGATTGATACTTGGAGAGAAAGGTCTGTTTTCTGCCCCTACCCTACTCCGGCTAGTCGTCTCCCTTCTGCTGATTTTCAAAACACAGACAGCCTACCCGACATGAATTAACACCATTCGTGTAATTCACACAAGAGGATGTCAAATGCCCTGTTGAAGTAGGGATAGATAGCGCTATTTTCTCCTTTGCCTGCACCAGCGATTCTTCTGCAGATGCTAATCCAATTTGCTGGGTGTATTTATTCTTATCACTTTTTCCCCCTAGAGTTATACGAGTTGGCTATCACCCTAACCTCTGGACACATGTACAGAAATTTACAATGTTAACCTGCTTTCGAGCCAGGTTGGCCCATTCACTTCAATCAAATGAAGTCCTGATTGAACAGATGGGTCTTGCAACGGACTGCAAAGGCCAAGAGGTAAGTTCATTATTTGTAGCGTTTGTAATGCAGTCATGGCGAGAGGGGCCAGTGAGAAAACCCTGCATAGTAAGTAGAGGACAAACTCCTGTGGCCTCCCTTTGGAGGAGCCTTTTGTAAGTGATCTTGGGTGTTATCTACTTTCGTAGCCAACCCAGGCAGAGTCCATTAGTACTTCAGCAGCAATGGCTGTTACTACCCCCACTGGCCTCTTTGGTGCAATGCTAGGATTTTTAATTGGAGTAGGCTCGTGTATGGGGGAGAACTTTAACTCGCCCCTCTATGACCTCCACCCTAGTTCTGGGGATTAAATCTACAGCCTTGTACATGCAATGTAAGCTTTCTAACTCCAAGCTGCCTTTCTAGCCTTTTATTAACTTTGTAATTTGAGACAAGGTTTTTGTTTGTTTTTTGTTTTGTTTTCAAAATTGTCCAAGCTGGCTTTGAACTTGCTGTGTAGCCCAGTCAGGCCCAGAAGAACAATACACATATTTCGTAGTTTGAATCTTTAGGTGGCTCCAGAACAAACTTCCTAAATACATTGCCATGTTTTCTCTTCTTATTAAGGAAGCAGAACCAAAGGAAGTCTTCTAATTTCTCTAAACCTTCCGGTTATTTGAATACACTTAGACTAACTTAGAACACTACCCCTTAGAAGTCTCACAGTAACTATGGATCCCTGTCTCCATGGTCCTCCTTCTGGGTCACTCTCCCCAGGCCAGGAGGGAGCAAAGGCAGATAAAAGCCATTTTTTTCCTGAGGGGAAGGTTGTCCTGTTGCAGCTGGTTAGCCTCTGAACTATTCCAGATTTGCTTGCTTTAAGCTATAGATTCTTTTTTATTTCAATTATTATTATTGTTGTTGTTTGCTTTGTTTTAATGAGCCAGGGTCTAACTGTGTAGGCCATGATGGCCTTGCCTCCCTATACAGCCTAGCCTGGCTTCACATGTTAGATCTTCCCATCTCTGTCTCTGAGTGCCACCACTTCTAGCTGAACTACAGACACAGGTGAAATGCTGGCAGTAGCAACAGCTTCAATAAACACAGCGATTGTAATTATATTCATAAAGAACACTGGCCTGAATGCCCTCTTCCCTTCACACACCTCTCTGTGCCACATGGAGTACATTAGCCTTGTAAACTAGTTGAGAAGCACTTCCCTCCTGCCCCTCTCTCTGCATGAGATCTAAGAGACCAGCAGCACCTGCCCTCGGATGTATGGAGAACATGCCCCATTAACCCATCTGAATCTCATCCTCGAATACAAAACTTAGGCTGCTAACGTGATTTTTAAGGATTAGTTTAGCCAGACTCTCAATTTCATCTGACTCAATATTGATAAGAGACTTGACTTACAAGTCTCATCATCTGGGTTTTAAAATGTGTCCCAAAGGTGTCCTTGCTGCCTTCATACGTTCACGCTGTTAGGTTTAACCTTGTTTGTGTTTTTAATATCATTTACCAGTTCTCATTTCTAACTAACCAATTTTTTCTATTTTATTAATTTTTCAAATAATCAATACTTGGCTGTGTTGATCTCTACTGCATTGCATCCTCTCCAAATCCTTACCTGTCTTCCTTTGTGCTCATTTCGTTTTTAACAAGAGGAACATGTTTTTGTTATTGTTTCCAGTGAGAGTGGCCACACTGATCAGTGAGAACCATTCACCGAACACCTAAGTGACACCTGCCTTTGAACAAAGAGATGGTGACAGACCTAAGACAGGGATGGTGGCTGCATGGGGTGTGGATGGGAGGTCAACAGAATGCATCGCATCGAGAGGAGGACAGAAAGCTGTTCATTGCAGTGCTGCTCTTTCCTTCCTAAGCATGACGATAATACGCTCTTCTTGAAAAGAGATGACAAAAGCTTGCTTGTATTTTCACCCTAGTCTTCCACAGGACTTGGAGAAAATAGAAATGCTGTGGCTATTTGCTAAAACTATCCCTGTGTATGTGTGTAGAGGCAAGAAATAGAGATTTGAGGAAAAAGGGGGGAGTGCCAAGGGGGGAGGAATAACAGAGGAGAGAGACGGAGAGAAAAGAAGATAGAGAGATAAAGGGAGAAAGAGAGACAGACAGAAAAACTAGTTAGGAAATTGCCAGTCTGAAGAAGCAGCATCCAGATGAGAACTTCATTCATACTGCCGGTGTTTCCCCTCATCAGCTGCCTGAAGTGGGTGGTCCATAAAGGAAGGGCCAGATTGGGCAGTAACTCTGTTTAAGTTCCCCTTGATGACTATTCAGGGTGCTTTGTTAAACAGAGGAGAAAACATAGTCTTTAACTAACCGTCTAACATCTTGGAATTGAATTCCCAGTTCTATACTTTGGTTACAGTTGTAGACACTTTAAACTGACTAAGTTTGGCTATCCCATTGGTCAATATTTCAAGGCAATTAGTGCTATATCTTTATATGTGCATAAGGAAGGAAGACTTTGGAAGACTAAAGGCAGATGTTAACTAGTCAGCTAGCAGGGTAGAGATACTATGAACAAACAATATATCTCTATATTTATATCATGTTTCTAAGTTTTCACCAGTTGAGCTTATATTTTTGCACAGAATGGAAAAGAAAAAAAACAAAATGCTAAGGATCCAGGAAACTCCATGTACTATCTCCGTTTTCTTCTGCTTGTATTCACCTGTTCAAATAAACACTTCCCATCTTCTGCCTACGTTCCTCTTCATGGTATCCTTTTCAGATGGGAAGGAAATTGGACAGTTGCTCTAATCTCCCTGTCGCCTCTTTTAAGCAGCTGCAGGGAAGAAGCCTGGCTTACAGCAGGATGCCCTCCCCACTGTATCCTGGATCTGGAAGAGGAAGATGGCATCGGGCTGGCTGGGATGGGACACCTGCTACGTGCAGGCAGTCTTTGGTGCCGCTGGGCTCGGGGCTTTATGGTGAGTGAGTGGAGGTGATGTGCATTGGCAGACAATAAAGAACTGAAGTCAAGGCCAGACCACAAGGATTCATTGTAGCATCTGTGGCTGGAAGGAAAGAGATGGCAATGGTCAAATGGAAGAGACCAGACAGTGTCTGTGGCAAAACTCCATTTTGATTTACTACGTTCCAGAAGCGATCCTTTCCACCATAAATCTGGTACTCACAGTGTAATAGTGCACATAAGTCAGGAGGCAGTTTCCCAAGGAGGTGGAGCACAGGAAGGTCATTCAGAGGTCTCCATGCTGTCTGCAGAATGGCACAGATAAAAGGCCCTGATTCCTGACTATCCCAGCTTTGGCTACAAGGCTACTGGACAACTGAGATTCCTCATTACAGAAGTCGGAAAGGGCAGAGAAGGCGAATGGTTCGAAGAGTCCTCAGGGCGGTGGCATTGTTTCTGCCCCAGCTCCTGCACTGATTCCTCCACAGGCCTCCTTACGTTTCAGAGCAATGCTTACTAATGAGGAAGCATTTGATGATCAGATTAATTAATGGAGGCGGAAGAGAAATCAGGATGAGATGCGCCTCCAATAGTTAAGTTTCATTAAGGCTTTTTCTTTTCCCTCCCAGAAGTGAAGAGATTTATTTTCCTGGTTTAAATTCAATAAATGAAAGCTGTGTGTTTGCCGGCCTCCTTTTGCTTGCTCTTACTCTGCATCTGCTGATGCGAAGGCCAAATTGGGGCCCGTGACAGAGAAGCAGCAAACAGGCTGCTAATGTCCCTGATGCCTGGGCTAGAATGTTCCACCAGGTTTCTGCTGCCACCGACGGTACTGCCAAGGCACTGATGTTCAAGCAAACATGGCTCAGAAAGTGATGGTGTCAGAGATGGGACAGGGGCTGTGGGCAGAGAGACCTGGGCTGGAGTTTCCACACTGTCTTCGATCACTTGACACTTACAGGACTTAGTTTCTTGCCTAGAATTCTGGATGTGGGATCCTGAGATGGAGAAATATACAAAGGTACTTTGGGGAGGTGGACAGAGGGAGGACATTCCTCATGAGAGGGCAGATGTATTAGCACAGGCCAGATAGGGCCAGGGAATATGGCCCAGGGCTTGCCTGGACTTAACTATATAAAACCTGTGTATTACTTATTTTAAGTTTTCAGCCCATTATATATTTTTATTTAGGACACAGTGGAGCTGTCTGCAGTGCAGAACTGCCTTTCAGTGTTCACAGGAATGACCTCATTTTCTGACAACAAACATCAGTGAGTTTGGCAGGACCCACTGGCCAGGTGGAGAACCTGAGGGTCTGATGGGCCTCTGTTCCCAAAGCAGGATAGAAAATAGTCAAGTGAGTCGGCTTGGCCCTCCCCTCGCTCAGTGTCACTGCCCTTGGCAGTGCAGGCGCAGAAAGTCTCTTCTTTCAGCATATGATACCTGTTCTGGGAAGACGGCAAGACATCCTGTGGCCAGTTCTTGGCAGAAGCCAAGTAACCTCCAAAGGGAGTTCTTTTGTGCTACCAACAGGCACAGTCCTGTTGTCTCATGCACAGCCCAATAGGAACACGCTGGAAAAACTCTCAAATTTTTAACGGATGTCAGAGAAGCTTGGTTTGGGTTTCTGGTTCTAAATGGAGCTAATGATGTTTTCAAGCGCCTCACTCTGAAGCAAGATGCCACCTCCTTCAGGAGTTTGGGAGAAGGCCATCTCCAAATGTCAGAAGACACAGGGGGCTGCTGGTGCACTCCACAAATGACCTTGAAGCCACTAATGAGCTTCCAACACATGGGCTGCTCTTGCAGTGCTTGGCGCCAAAATAAGGGCAGCAGGATGGGAATAAAATAAAGGACAGACTCTGAGGTAGACAAACGAAAAGGAATGGGGACCATGGCAGACTCTGAATTAGGAGGCTCTGGTGAACATGGTGTTTAATGCCTGAACCCTTTTAAAGGGTTTAAGATGTCCCCATGTGCGAGGTTTTCTGCCTCTTGTGAAATGCCTGTGACTTTTAATATGAATGTGGGAAAACCTTGGAAGTAATTCTCAGAGCAGAAAGAAAGGACCTGCATCTGGGTAGGTAAAATAAACTGGGCTAAGAATGGGGCCATGTCTCTGCACTTGCAGCTTGCAAAGACATCAGGTTTCTATGTGAGCTTGTCTATTTACACACATGCATCTCTTTTGGAGATGCATCTCTTTTAAGCTTTTAAGCCCCCCCCCCCCCGGGTTGGTATATTCTATATCCCTGGTAACATCCCTACAGTGGTCCTGAATTCTGTTCTAGTGTGTGTTTTCCTGTATTAAAAACATTATGGGAATATTGTTAATGAACTTCTTTCTGAGTGAACCACCAGGCGGATCACCGCACACACAATGCTTCTTCCGTACAGTGGGACAACTGAGGGCCAGGAACTCTCTTTAGAAGGTAGAGTTTCACAGTCCATTTCGGCCTAAATTCCAGACCGATCCCTCTGAGGTTTTTCACACTTATCATGTGGAACCCAAATATCTCATAAAAATTCTTAAGGCACAACTAATCATGCTATGACATTTGAATGTCTCCTGTTCTTTTCTTCCTGTTCTTCTGGGTTTCTGACAGTACCCTTGAGTACAGTGGCAGTAGAGGTGGGCTGGCCTCTGTTGGCATCTTCCACAGCATTTCTTTGCCTCCTTCAGCTCCAAGGAGACCTCCCTGTACTCCTCAGCTTCACACAGTCCCTGGAACTGAGGCTTCTCAATCACCAGATAGGGTGCTTATGTTCTTCCTCCTTTTCTCCTTTTCCTCCACTTCTTCTCCCCTTTTTTGATTGCCCCCTTTTCTCTCTTCCAGGACCAGGGAAAAGATGACATGGCTACCAGAGTCAGCCATTTCTTTTTATTGCATATTTCAACTTCTTTGGCTCACATTTCCCTGCCATCTGTTTTCCTTTACCTACACAGTTTCAATTATGTACTTTGCCTTTCATCTTGGGCCACTGTGGTGGTCTGATTTAAAATCGCCCCCATAGGGTGTGGAACTATTAGGAGGTGTGGTCTTGTTGACATAGGTGTGGCCTTGTTGGAAGAAGTGTGTCACTGTTGGGTGGGGCTTTGAGGTCTCAGATGCTCAAGCCAAGCCCAGTGTCTCACTCCCTTCTTATTGTCTGCTGATCCCAATGGAGAACTCTCAGTTACCTCTCTTGAACCGTGCCACCATGCTTCCCACTATTGCAATAAAGAACTAAACCTCTAAACTGTAAGTCAGCCCCAATTAAATGTTTTCCTTTATTAGATTTGCTTTGGTCATGGTGTTTCTTCACAGCAATAGAAACTCTAACCAAGAAAGTCACCATTTTTATTTCAAAATATACTGGTCTAGACTCCTTGTTCCTTTCTTTTAGACACTCACAAAACTTTGTTGCTGTTGTTCCTCTCCTGTGTTTCTGGATAGCCACACACTTTTTAATATCTTCCTGCCTCTTCTTCCTTTATCTTGGTCATGTGCTGGCTGAGTATTCAGGCAAGGATGAGATTAAAGTTAAAACCTTTGAAATAGGCACCTGTTTAACAAGATAACAGATGTGTGTGTGTGTGTGTGTGTGTGTTCCCTTCCTCCAGAGACTCAACTAAAATGTCTGTCACTGAATAAATTATAAGAGCAATAAGAACAGAAAGGGAATTCTGGAAAATCACAGTATATGATAGATTTGGGCACTTGTGGGAGTCCCAAACTTTCCTTAAGATGAAGTGTGTGGTCAACACACACTCAGATAACTAATGTCTGGGATGGCCTGAGTTAACATGTGCAGGAGTTTTAGCTACAGCACTGAACCTCCCCACAGATTCCAAAAAGCAAACTAAGCTCTAATATAAATCTGAATGGATAACCAACCATCACCTTGCTTGGAATAAGCCTCTATATGAAAGAGAGGCTTACACACACACACACACACACACACACACACACACAAATACACACATGCACACACACATACAAACAAAACACACCAATCAGTACCCCCTACATGTCATACACACACAGACACACACACACACACTACATACAAACAAAACACAACCATACTCTACACACACACTCAAGCACATGCATTTACATGTGTGTGCCATTTACATGTGTGTGCCAAAACAAATCAAAACCAAAACAATTCTGGAATTATTTAGTACAAATTTAGGAGCAAAAAATAACTTTCAAATTTCTAAGTAAAATCCTCAAAAAGATTTGAGAAGACAATGAAACAGTAAGATAAAAATAAGACAACATGAAAAAACAATAACCAGAGAAGAAAGTAAATGTTCAGAAATCAAATAATATGATTACCAAGCCAAAATTTCAGCAAAATAGGTGACAGATAATGTTAAAACAGAAAATAGTAGGGAAAGGATAGTAACTCATACCCATATCTGACTGACAGGCATTTCAGAAAGAAAATCAGCTCTAGGAATAGAAGTAGAGAATAATCAAGAAATCTGAGACTACTGTTAGAACTGCTCTGATTATCCTGTTTCCTCATCTATGGGTGCTGGTCTTCTGGGTCCCTGCAATAGGATCTTCTAAAGCTGGATGGGAGAACCAGGATTGCTGTACCTTCAACAGTTTCCATTTTACAGAGAAATGATCTCCTCTTCTGTGTTTCTCTAATTTGGGAAACACTGAACATCCCTACCACATCTTATTCAGACACATGCAATACTCTCACTACAACCAAATTCTCACCAAAACTAATGTCACCTCCACAGCCAGCATCATCACGACAGGCACCATTATCACCACAACCAACATTACCACTTGCCAACATCCTCACCACACCTAATGTCATCACCACAGCTGCCTTCTCACCAGAGCCAACATAGTCACCAGGGCTGACATTCTCATTCTAGACAACATCCTCACCACAGTCAACATCCTCACCACAGCCAACATCCTCACCACAGCCAACATCCTCA